TTTATGGCATTCCCGCTCTTCCTTGTTTGCTAGTGCGCAAACCCTTCAGTCGTGCCAGTATAACTGTTTGAGGGATCAGAGAAGTGATCATGCTATAAATGAATGTAATTTTTCACCCGCTTTGGTTTTTAATCCAGCTCGGTTCCCAGATCCCATTCTCAGCGCAGTGAATGGCGTGCCAAGGCAATGATTAAAGAAGAGAGAGGCGGCCTCGGGAGAGCGGTGCTGTTTTTGCTGTTGAAGTCTTGCAAAATGAAACCACAGCCGCAGAAAAGAAGAGGCACATACTTCTCAGAAATGCTGCTTTAGGCTATCTCTAGACTAAGGAAATCAATCATAGGGATAAGATAGTAGCTTTTTAAAAAAGGAAAGTGAAAACAACGTAGAACCTGAAAATGCCCTGCAGAGCAGGAAAAAACCATCAGCCAGAACGTAGGCCGGGTTTTTCACCTCCACGGAGAAGGTTTGCAAATGTTTTTATTCTACAGAAATTTAACGTTCCCTCATAACTTTACTAAAACTATTTCCTTTTACCGTCAGGTTTGTGGAAAATAGCCTAAGCTGCCTCTTCCTTTCTCTTTCATCTCATTTTTGTCTTTCTGATTTTAAAATTTTTTCTCCTTCTTGCACAAATCTGTACCACTTTGGCTCAAATGCACTCTTCAACATACCTAGTGCTTCACTGATTTAATTTATAGCCATTATCTACTACCAATTCTGTAAGGTAAATCCATCATGTTTAGAATAAATCTGACCATAAAGCATGTAGCTTAACAAATAAGAATCTGTCAAAAGCCTCACTTCAGAGCAGTAAGTTTCATTTTAACAGGTACTGTGAAATCTTTCTAGTACTATGCAAACGCTATTCAAATGAACAAAAGATTCCTTCTTTACTCTAAAAGAAGCTTGTATAACCTAAAATAATTAATGTAGTTGAATAATAGAACTTACTCCTTTACACATAAAGGCAAGTACTAAAAAAATCATAAGCAACCTCTGCACGTGAGGAGGAAGCCAGGCTATGTCAGGAGTAAAAATAATGTGAATGTCCTCAAGGCTACGGCACTACTGACAAATACTAATTACATGCTAAGCAGTTCACTGCAAAAGCTAATGTTCTGTCTTCTCTCCCTCACGTCTCCTGGCATTAATACATATACCATGGGTACAGTCTGTCTACTTGAGCCGCAGCCACATCTGTGTCACGAGTTCAGGTTCGGAGTGGCAGCAGTGTGCCTGGGCCACCGTAGTGCTTAGCATGCCATGACCAAGCAACTGGTTGAACAGGTGGGTATTTAGGTGATATTGCTTCAAATCAACTATGGGCCACACAGGTTTAAAACAAAATGCAGCCAAATCCAATGAAATTTCAACAAACCCTTCACCCTGGCAGACATGTCGTAGGCCTGTCAAATACAGTTAGCTCTTACTGACTACACGCTTTCCCCTTTCAACTAAGATGTCCCTCTCTGTTCCGAAGGCCGATGTGCACAGAACAAGGGTGCGAGTTTGTACTCCTTTTTTATGTGGTATCTTATACCCAGATTGAGGCAAAAGTCCCATATCTGTGTCTCCGCCGGCCGCTACAGGGCGAGAGGCAGCGGATAAATAAGGACACGTGCGTTTGTGCTTTAACGTGCGCACGAAATCTTGAACGTGCTACTTTTGCGCAGTGGCGTCCCTTGGGGTAGGTCAATAAAGCCAGTTAAGAGCCGGCTGAAACCAATTCTTAATTGCAGCTTTGTTTGACATTCACCTTGTTCACATATGCTCACATTCAGATTTCAGCCAAATACTGGAGCTCTCTGAAATGAGGGAGTTTGACATTTAATGTAGGACCTTGCTTTTGCTCTTCAGTCCATAAAAATGGAGCGTGGATGGGATGCAAAAGCCTAGTGCCACCAGCAAGCACCCTTAACTCCATTCTTACTCGGCACAGCACAGACGCCTTGAACCTCAGGGTCCAAACATGCCTTTCAGTGGCAGTGCCCTGCACAGTGCCCCTCCCTCCCAGCTTATTTCTAGCTCCTCAGTTGTGATATTATGTGGTCATGCAAGTCAGATCAGAAAATACATTGCAAAAGGCTGACAAAGGCTAGTGCTGCCTTTATTTTTCTCTAATAAATTTACCTCCTACCTTCCTAAACATTCATTTCAGTGCACGGGCAAGCCCTCAGCAAGATGAAAGAGTTTAAAATAAATATATATTCACTAAAAACCTAGCAGTTTCAGAGAAAATACGGCTAGATATATACTAGGTTAATGTATTACTTCGATTTCCCATGTAAAGCATTAAAGTGAATGCCTCTGAGGGTGTGGGCTCCTTGTCCAAGGACTGAGCTCTCACCACAAGCATAGTCGAGCACAACTCCCTTTCTCTTCCCATCACAGGACTGCAAGTTGACTCAGGCCTGACTTAAAGCTATCCAAAAACAGAGAATTTTTAAGCCAAACCTGTGGATTGATCCAATTAGCACTGTGGCCTCAAAATTGCTAGAGCCCAGAGAGAGAAGGAACGTAGGGCTGGTGGCTAGGACAAGCCCTGTTTAAGCTGACTGTGAAACTGTCCTCTGAAGCTGAAGTTGTGTGGGATTGCTGGGGCTCACCCCACCTAAGTCTTGCCACGAAGTAAAGGGCAACTCTCCTCTCCTGCTAGTATATGAAAGAAAAAAAGACCCAGACCCTTCTCCCATACTGTTTACACCCATCTAATCTGCACCGCATTTATTCTATTTACTTTACCAAAAAAAAACCCCCAAAATTAACATATTGCTGTTGGCTTTGAAGGCTGAAAGGGCTCAGCTCCTGGCAAAGTGTTTGCCTTGTCACCAACAGTGATAAGGATGACTTTCCTCTTTCAGCAACAAGCTGCACTGCAACATGAAGCATCTTCTTGTCCCTACCTTCACTTGAACTGTACAATTTACTTAACAAATGACCTCTTGACCATAAAAAAAGTTTATTATTAATAACAAATTTAGATGACACTGAATTCAAGCCTCATGAAATAAAAAAGTATATAAATCGAATCGACAGCAGCTACTCTAGAAGGAGACTGTGATACTGTGAAAACCTGAATTCATGTTCATCAACTTGATGCCAAGAACTCTAAATAAAGTTATTGTTTGAACATGTTACTGATATAACACTTTTTAAATTAAATTCTATTAAAGATTTTAAGAACCCAGAAGTGTAAGTGAAATCCATAATAAATTAAATTGTATCTGCACATCTGACAGGTGAAGACATTGGGCCTCCCTTTTTTGAGGTGTGAATACAGACAACAAATCAAGCTTATACCTAGATTTTTAAGTTTTCAGTTTGTGATGTCCAACTGTATTCCTCCATAGAGTCCAACTTTTGATCCTTCTTTTAATCCCTCAATACATAATAGTGAATCAAAAACTGTATTTATGCAAGAATGGTCTTAAGGCACAGAAAGACCCACATTAGAAGGGCGGAGTAGCCAAATGACATGAGAAGCTCAATTAGGAGGGTTGTGGATATTTTTTTATGCATTTCTACACAGTTGAAACTGAAAATGTTCAAGATACCTGAAAATATTATTGAGTACAAAACATGGCATAAATAAACAGAAGAAGCATTAGAAGATGCTTCACACTTCTAAAAGCTTGCTAAAAATTTCTCTGCAATTATATTGTTGATTGAAAAGAGATTAGAGTTTTTCTGACAGATTGCATATCCTAACATTCTAGCTTTTCCTATTTCCACTCACATTTTCACAAAAAAAAGAAAAAGATATTGAGGAAAGTATGAATACTGGTAAAGTTTCACAACCAATGTGAGCTAGCAGCAGTGAACTGCACAAGTGCCCGTCTACTGATCCATACCCATATAATATATAAATTACTTCCACAGCAAAGTCTAGATAAGCAAAATGCACCACCTTTACTCACAACAGCACAGATAACAGTAAGCCTGCAGATCTGTTGACACAGACAAATTTAGCAAATCTAGCCTGCTGAGAACCACAGCTAGCAATCTGTCAGTCAACCACCAAAATCCCTGCCACTGGTTGGGCATGTCTCCACGTTCTGGATTGCAGTTTCACAGGTAGCTTAAGCTGACAACCTCTCACTCCTGGAAGATCCTGGTTTTCTCACTGTCACCACTAGTAGGCCACACACTTCTGTCTCCACCGCCCTCTTCTCTCGTGCTGGATTACCTGAAAACTAATTGGGGCTGGGGGCAGGGGGCTGGTGCTGTTTTTCAGTTGGATTAACTTGGTGATGAGACTCTGTGAAGACACATAATCACAACGGCCAATGCAAAGAAGTCAGCAGCAATGAAAAGACAGCCGCCTGATCTTTGTGAAACAACTTTACACACTAACTGGATTAAGCTAAAATTAACTAGCATGTGCCACTGCCTCAATGTGTTGTGTAAATCTACCAATCCCCATCTTTGCAAAGACACTGTTCCATGAGATGCAGTGAACCAACTTCACAGCTCATCATCACCAAAAGATCCATTTTTTCTGCCTCCTTGCATTCAGCCCATGTTGCTGCTTATCTTATGCTAGCTCTAAAGCTCATGACAGCTGACTTAACACATCAACTAGGCAAAAACTATCTCAGTTGTAAACTGCCAAAGACTTTGCTTTTTAAGTGAAAGGACATCAAAAAAAGACCAAAAAAAAAAAAATGGTAGAACTGCGCAGAGAGGCAGTAAGGAAGAAAGGCGAAAGGAGAAACATCTTTTACTGGCATCAAGCTGTTAAAATTGATTACCTGTGAAATTTTACTTCACAGAATC